TCTCAGTCTTGGGACTATTGACATCTGGGGCCAGATAATTCCCTACTATGCATATGTGGGCAGGGACTGTACTGTACACTATAAGATGTTTCACAGCACCCATGGCTCTATCCATGAGATGCTAGTAGCATCTCACTTTCCAGTGGTGACAATAAAAAATGTCTTCAGACATGGCCAAATGTTCTCTGGGGAAAGGGGGCAAAATAGCTCCCAGGTGAGAGCCACTGCTGTCTAGAAATGAGGGGTCAGGTTCAGGTTGGTTACAGCCTGTCTTCCCCATTAGACTGTAAACAGGTGGAGGGAAGGAAGAGTGAGTTGATTTATTCGCTGCTGTGTTATCCATGCCTAGAACAGTGCCTGGCATGTAGCAAATGCTGCTGAAAGAAGAATAAATGAATGGGATGAATGAATGAGTGAATGGAATGAATGAATGAATAAGTGAATGAAATGAATGAAAGAATGGTCATGAATGGTCTCTGGGAACACGGCATGTTCTGCAATAAGAGCCTGAAGTTTTAGATCCCCGTCCAGATTCTTACCTACCAGCTCTGGGGCAGCAGCCTGGGGCATATCCTTCCCCTCTTTGCGCCTGGGTCCCTTTTGCAATCTCTTAAATGAGGGCTATCGCAGGCCTGGAAGGCCCGGGGCATCCGTAATCTGGGGACTGCCAGAGACGAGGTGGCTGAGGGGGGCTGTTTTCCAGGCCAGGTATTACAGACCTGCCATGTCCTGTGTTTCTCCTTCTTACCCTCGCCCCTCAAGTCAAGTCAATTATAGAGAGACAGGCACCCCGCCCCCACACCCACCAAAATAGTGACCTACAAGGAAGAGGTGGCTCCTTTTTTGAGTGTGTGTCTTAAAAGGAAAAACATGTAACCTCAAAGGTAACCAAATATCCAAATCGTGATGCCCAGCATCACACATCCCAAATCCACCTATTCATGAGTTTAACAAAAAGCTTCTTTAGGATATACTGTAAGGCCATTGAGAGGGAGAGAAGTCACCTCTCACAGGCCTGGCCAGCCCGCAGGGCCCGCCCTCCCAGCGTGTGCACACACACACACACACACACACACACACTCCTCCCCTTACAAGGAGGCTCTGAGTTTTTAAAAGTAAACTCCACTGTTTCCGTTCTTGCCCTGGATTCAACTTTTGAAAAAAGAAACCGTTTTACGGTGTTCCCTACAAATCCCCCTCTCTGGTCCTCCTCTCGACTGCACTCCCGCTCCTTCTCCAGCCCTCCCCTTGTTCTGCTGGTCTCCCAGTGGCCCTTCTTCAACTGTGCACAGGAGCCCAGACTCCCTCACAGAGGTGGCTGGGTTCTGCTGGATCTGGGGGAAGGGGAGCAGCCACTCCCAAGGCAGCTGTCACAGAAACAGGACTTTCATCCCATTGAACAGGGCTTCCTTAAGTTGTCAGGGCGGCAGCACATTAGGACATGAAGCATGGCCACGAGGCCAGGCTGCAGTGACAGCAAGAGAGGAAAGCTCCTGTTCCCAAGACGTGCTCCCATACTCAGATCCCCTTTCCCAGGGCAGTTGCTGGCCTGTCCCCTCCCCTGCTCTACTTGTAAGCAGACCTGTCCTCCATGCCCTGCTTCCTCTCTGACTCTGGGTCCTCTTCCTTGAACTTGCCTTTCCCCAGCTCCAGTTTCCACCTCAGCTGCCTTGACTCCCCAACATTTGGTGCAGTGGCAGCAAGCGTGCCCCAGCACAAGCCACCTAGCACCACAATACTGGAATTTCTGACACAGAAACATCAGTGGGCTCAATATAGTAACAAATAAATAAATAAATAAAAATGTATATGCAAATATCAAATCTGCATATATTTTCATATATACATTTATATTATAAACACACAAACCCTCATAGAGGGCTTCAAGGTATATAACAGAAACAAAAGTTTCCAGAAATAATACTTACCTTTGCTACATAGGAGGCACTATGAGATTATCTAGCATTTCTTATTTTATTAAGAACTCCACTAGATTGATTTCATAACCTGCAGTTGGAGAAATCCGGTGCTAGATATCCCTGCAGCAGCAGACAGACTGAAAGTGGGACTCTAAGCAGGGTCTCATGGCCTTCCTTTGGCTCAGCTGAGGTCCTCCTAAGGGCCCAATAAGAAGGGCCTTGGGAGGAACCCAGTTCTAGGAGGCATCATTAAAAAATCAATTCACTGGCCGGGCATAGTACTCGTGCCTGTAAACCCAGCAATTTGGGAGGCCGAGGCAGGTGATCACCTGAGGTCAGAAGGTCGAAACCAACCCAGCCAACATGGTAAACCCGTCTCTACTAAAAATAAAAAAGTTAGTCGGGTGTGGTGGCACACACCTGCAACCCCAGCTACTTGGAGACTGAGGCACAAGAATCATTTGAACCTGGGAGGTGGAGGTTGCAGTGAGCTGAGACTGGGCCACTGCACTCCAGCCTGGATGACAGACTGAGACTCCATCTCGGAAAAAAAAAAAAAGATTCACACCAAGAGTTGGAACACACAGTTTCTTACCAAGAGAAAATATTTGAATTTTTTGCTATCCAGAACTTGGGGTTTGTGGTGACCCCAAAGGAGGATTAGGAGTTGTTAGAGGAGATGAATTAAGGTTTGTGGTGATTGCTGAGAGCCAAACAAGGCACCCACTTTATGTCTTTTAATCTTCACAAAAATCCCTTATTGGAGGAGTTTCTCCCCTTTTTAGAGAAGAGGAAATGAAGCCTCCAGGAGGCTGGGTACCCTCATCAAAGTCATGTAACCAGTGAGTGGCTGAGCTGGGATTTGAACCCCGGTCTTCCTTGCATGGCGGGCTGTCCACCGTCCCGGCTCTTGCCCACCATCTCAGGAGGTGAGATCTCTCTTGGAGCTCCCTCTCTAATTGGGGAGGGGGCATAAGAGGAGGAGAATGCGCTGCCTTGGCATGCAGGGATGAGTAGCTGCCTGGGATTGGGGTTATGTGTGAGAGAGATGGGGAGCAGGGACAAGAGGTGTGCCTGGGTGTGAAGAGGACTTCCAAACATTAAACAAAATATTCCCATGTAAGTATGATTTTCACTGAATAGTATAGGAAAAGAAAAACATTCATTTGCTACTAGAATTAAGAATGATAATAGTAATATTAATAATATCGAACAGTTACTGAGTACTTGCCCGCTGCCAGGCACTACGCTCAGCCCTTTGCTTGGGTCACCTCACATCTATTTATTGAGTACTTGCTGTCTGAGCACACAGCGCGGCGCCTAGGTGGCGCTCAGCAGATATTGGAGAATGAATGAAAATACCAGGCACAGCACTAGAAACTACTCATAAGTATATCTAAACTAAACACAACTCAAGGTAACCTGCGGAATTCCAGCACCTCTCTAAGAGATATTTTCTTCCTTTTGACAATTCCTTCTTCTGAAACTTTTTAAGCTGGGGAGATCTATTGTTCTGCAATCTTTCTTTCAGGTTAGAATCTCTCCTCCACACTCCCACTCCGTGCTTCCTCCCCAAGCAAGCCTCGGGGTTTTCTTCCCCAATTGCCTTTCCCTTGGCGGCAGTCTCTCCCTGGATTCTGTGATTGACAAGCCAACCCTCCTACTCCGCATCGTCATAGCACCTCCAATCCCACCTTGCCCAGGACGCAAGGGCAACCTGATTGCTCCTTGAACATGGCAACCCAGGATGAGGAAGAGAGGTAAAGATTAGAACCCAAGACTTCTGGACTCTTAAATCGGGATGAGGGACCGACTATGGCCTCAGAAGACTGAGATTCTAGTTCTGCCCCTGCCCCTGAGTCACAGTGCAAACTTCAGAAATTCATTGCGCTTTTCTGGGTCCACTTGTCCTCCTCTTCACACGAGACTGGTGTGTTTTCAACGTCCAGCGCCCACCTTGCACTGTCAGACACCCACCCACTGCAGCACCCAGGACCCCAAAACACCATGCTAACCCAGTTCTGCTTTGTATTTTTCTCCTGGCAGCCACCCTCAAGAACCGGAATTTACACATCAGTCAAAATGCTGAAACTCCAGCTTCTTAATGGTGAAACCCTAGTAGGATCCCGTCAGAACCCAGCTCATGACTGAAAGGAGGAAAAGTTTGGGTTGGATCCTGTCTCGCAACCAGAGACAAGCCCCCACCCCACAGCCTGCTCTGCCTAGACTGTGGTTCCGTTGACATGATGACAGCCTCTAACTCAGCCCCAGGGCTGGAAAGGGCTCTTGCTCTGCCAGCATTGGCTTCGTTTGCAGAGGAACCCACAGGGGAAAACCGCGGTGGTCGTGTGTCCTCAGCTCCCCTCCCCTTTCTTCCTTGAGAAATGCCCCTTCTTGGTTGGACACCCGGGTGCTCAAGGCACTGCTCTCCTCTCCCCTGCTGGCAGTTCAGTAGCTCTGTCCCAGGTTCCGCCAGTCTCCCTGGGGCATCCTCTCGGCTCTTCAGGCACTCTGGTCCCTGGAGTAAGCCAAGTGGCTAAGGATGGGCTCTCTAGCCTCAGCTTAGGACCCGCGGTGTCCCTGACATACTATCCGTATGATTTCTTTGATTCCTCCAGACCTCACGAACGCCTTCTCCTTCTCAGCTGACAGAGGTCAGGCCAAGGCTCAGGAAGGTGAAGCACATCTTCCAACTCAAAAGTAGCACCTCGGGGATTTGAACCCACATTCCCTTGACTCTGAAGCTGCTACTCTGTCAACCATGGGTCCTTCCAGACCCTAGGATTTAAAATCACACGGGGGTTTGGAGTAAAGGCTGCCTTGTTCCTTTATCCTGGAGGACTCGGAGGCAAGTGCCCCTCCTCACGTGTTCCTTTGCCCCATTCACTGAGTCTGCAACCGCCAAAAAGTTCGCTCAACTCCACCGCGGCGGGTGGACGTCGGAAACCCCCGGCACCCACAGCTTCCGGGCGGAGACCGAGGCAGCGCAGCCCCCAGCCCCGACGCGTGCAGCCTCAGCCCCGCTCCCGGCTGGCTGGGCGCCCTAAAAGAGCCTCGCTCTGGAGGGAAGGAGACAGTTACCTTGAAGAGTCGGACGCCCGTCTCCAAGAACTTCAGTCCCACACACCTGGCGAGGCAGCTGGGGGCTCCTGGGGCCCGGAGGCCCGAGTCTCGCTGCGCAGCGAGGGAGACGCTCTGCGCGGGCGCTGCGCACCGCTCCTCCTGCCGGCGTCCTGTCCGCTGGTACCCTCGGGCGGTGGCCGCAGCGGCAACTGCTGGGTTGCGGAGTCCTGGCTGGCCGAGGGAAGGGACACTGAAAGGTGCCGGGAGCCCCCTGGCACCCGCGTCAGATGCCGGCCGGCGAGGGTGCGGAGAGAGAGAGACCTTGAGCAGCGCTGCGCGCGTCCTCAGCTCTGAGAGCCCCCTCTGGAGCGGCGGGGAGGTAGGTGGGCGGGCGGGCGGGCATGGCGCGCGGTGACACATACATAGGGACGGGCAGGGGAGGGGGGGCCGTGAGGGGTGGGGGGCAGGAGGGGGCGAGCGCGAAGGGAAACCCCACCCCCGGGGACCGAGGGGCGGCCGGCAGGGGGAGGGGGAGGCAGAGGCGTCTGGAGCGCGCTGAACCCTGGCTCCGGATAGGCGCGCGGAAGGGGAAGCCGCCCTGCGCTCAGGGCGTGAGAGGAACGCTCCCCGCGGCGGCGCGGACCCGGCGCTCCGGGGCCGGCGGGAGGAAGGTGGCGCGAGGAGGACTGGAGGGCCGGCGTCTGCATTGCGGTCGGCAGCTCCGCAGTCGGAGGGGCCCGGAGGACTGCACCTTCAGAGCAATCCTGAGCGCCCGGGCTCTGGGGCCGCCGCGGCCTGACGGGGCTCCCGGGCGCTGGGCTGGGGTCTGCAGCTGAGGCTGGGCACGACGCGATCAAGGGAGGGTGCGGCCCCCTACTCTCGGCCTCGATTTGGAAGGACCCTCACCGAGGAGCTGGCTGAAAGTTTGGTGGTGGGGTACACCGGGATGGCAGGGGTGGTGGAGAAGGGAGGTAAGACGGCAGCTGGGAGGTAGGTGCACGGGAAGTTGCGAGCCTCTGGGTCTTCAAAGTCCCCAGAAGAGACCAAGGACATCTCATGGGGCAGGAATTCTCCAGTGCCTCTACAGCACTCTTTAATACTGTTTCCGGCAAAACGAGTAAAAGAACTAGCAGCTTTTCATCCCTCCCGTGAGCCCGTTGTGTAACATACATTAATATTTCATTTAATTTTTCCAAAGAGCCCAACAAGGTAAATATGACAACTCCCCACCTGCCCCCACCAAAGATGTGAAAACCGAGGCTCAGAAAGTGGTGGGTCTGAGTTCAAGTCCAAGGTCTTGCTGAGCCACGGGACTTTCGGGGGGACTCAAGCTGGCTAGTGACCTTCAGAGTTCTTATGGACAAGCTGGTGGTGCTTCACACCAAGATGCGGTGGCCACAGTCAGGATGGTGGTGGAAGCTTCCTGACCCTCTAATTGGGCAAGGACTGAATGAAGAAGAGGAAGAAGTAGAATCTTTGGGGGCTGCCCACGACAGAGATAATAGACCACACTTTAATCAGTTTCTTGATGAAAAGGAATTGAAGTGCCTCGGTTTCCCCAGGGCCACTCCACTGGAACTGCGCCTGGGGGCACGACTGGCCCTGGCCTAGCACATGCTCTGTGAGCCCCCTGTTTCCCCCCTGTCCAGGGCAGTGAAGCCCTGTAGGAGGGGTGCAGTGCCCACTTGACCCACCTACGTCTCAGAGCAATGGCTACAGTGTTCCCATGCTTAGCCATTCTTGATTTCACCCTTTTTCTACCTGAGCCTCTTGAGCCATGTCTGTAAATCTTGAAGCATTCAGGGCATGACTTCTCTGAGTGAGGTTTGTAAGTTTCGGAGCATTTAGGGAACAGACAAAGTGCTGGTGACCGATGCCCCTCAGGGGATGATAGTGGCTTCTCTCTCAGATAAAGAAATGAGATGAAATCTTAGTAGTTGCTGGCCTCAATGCCTGGACCGGGGAAATGACCCTTCTGGGTAACAACCAATCCCTGAAATTCCAACAAGATCATGGATTCTCATGCCTGTATTTACCTGATGCCTTGGGTGAGAACAAATTGCTCTCAATTGTAAAATGGGGTCATGTCGACATGCATCCTAGGGCAGGTGCGGTTAATGAAGAACAATTCAAGTCAAGGGCAAATATTAATTAGGCAATTTATCTGTGTATTGAAGGGAACAAATGTTTATTGATCATTTGGTTTTGTAATGAGTCTAAGAAACATATATTGGGCACCTATTATGTGTCAGATACTGCTTGGCATAGCAGCCTCTCAGATGGATGTCATTCCCATTTACATACTAAGAAACCAAGACTCAGAGGCCACCAAGGTAGTGAATGGGACTGGAGTGCAGGCTGGCATGACTTCACACCCCCTACCCCTAAAGGATACAGAAAACCCAGAATGATGGCAGCATGTTTGGACACTTTAAAGACCATATTCCGAGAATCAAAGGACATGAGTGTCAGAAGGCCCTTGGTGCCTTAGATAGGCTCCTCATGCCCAACTCAGGAGCTCTGTTCCAGTGTAGGATTTCTGAAGCTGGTCATCCCTCCTCTGTAGAATACTTCACGGTTGCCTAATCCGTGGGTGCCTTTTCCAGGCCACCCAATCCAATCTGCTGGGGATTTCTAACCCCTTGCTGCTCAGAGTATGGTTTGTAGACAGGCAGTGTCACCTGGGAGCTTATTCTGAATGCAGAATGCCAGGTTCCCTAGACCTACTGCCTCAGAATCTGCATTTTTACAAGATCCTTCCCATGGCGTGTATGCCTACTGAAGTTTGAGACGCACTGTGCTAAGATAATTCAGCAAGTTCTGCTCATCCAATCACAAAATCACAAAATAAGAGAACCTCAGAGCTGGGAAGAGCTCTTTCTTGGAGAACTTTAAGGGCAACTCTCCATGGAGTATGTCAGTCCTGTCCATGATGTTCCTCTGAAGTAGGACATCAGACATGGCTTGGCCATGAGTTTGACTCCCTGATCTAGAGCAGAGCACTGGAGACAGCCCTCCTGGAATGAATCACATAGTTCTATATTCTAGTTATTATGGCTGTGTAACAAATCACCCCAAAACTGAGGGGCTTAGAACAATAGTCATTTAATTTGACTTATGGTTTCTATGGATCAGGAATTTGGGAGAAACCTGCCAGGCAGTTCTGGCTTGGACCAGCTCATGAAGTTGTAGTCAGATGGCAGCTACAGCTGCAGTCAGCTGAAGGCTTGACTGGGGGTTGAGGATCCATGTCCAAGGTGGGTCACTCACGTGATTGGTGAGTTGGCACTGGCTGCTGGCCAGTGGGCTCATTTCATCTCCACAGGGCCTCCCAATGGAGCTGCTTGAGTGTCCTCTTGACATAGCAGCTGGTTTCCACCACAGTATGTGACACAGTGAGTGCAGTGCTTCTGTGTCATAGCTTTGGAAGTCACACTTCTGTATTCTATTGGTCACACAGGGCTAGCCCTGAATTAGAGTGGGAGGGGGCATACAGGGTGTGCCTGGGGGCATCTTGAAGGCTGGCTTCTATACTCCATTAAACTAACTCATAGCGCATGGCCAGTCTCCCAGCTCATCTGACTGTATTACCACAGAGTGCTTGTTTCTGTCCTGTACATGGGGGTGCCATGAAGGTACCTTGCTAAGTCCCAATATAAGGTGTTTGCAGAATTCCTCTGAAGCATTCATTTCAGACTCTTTTACAAGTGAGTGGCCCCATTCTGCTCTCTAGAGCAACAGTCTGTGCCATTTCAACAGGACAGCCTCCAGTTAGTGCAGGAGTGCTCTCACATCACCCTTCATGGTCTCCTCAGTTTCCCAAGGGAGAGTGCTTCTGGAGTTCACTTCTGGATTCCTCACTCTCTGCGAACCTTGTTTGTGGATGCCCCTCACAAATGCAATGCCCAGCGTTGGATGCATAAGCCCAGCTGCGGACTGATCAGAGGGGAACCAGGACAACTCTCTTCTCTCACCATTTGGACATTCTGCTCCCACTGGTGTGGCCAAAGATCGTTGAGTTTCAGAACTACATCCCGCTGTTGCTTGAAATTTAATCTTGCGGGCAATTAAAACTAAACTGGCACCCACGAAAAGGATTCCTGTGTATCTCAAGCAACAGAGAGTTGTGTAGCAAGGAGATTCCCTGTGTAATCAGGGGCATTGGGTGTGAATCCCAGCTCTGGTATGTGAACCTTGGGCGAATTTCTTAACCTCTCTGGATTTTGGTTTCACATCTGTAAAATGGAGCTATCTCATGAAATTGTTGTGAGAATTAAAGTAAGATATGGAATGTCAGCACCTAACGACTGATCTGGCTCAAGGTGCAAGGATGTTTAATTTTCTTCCCTTCCCCCAACCCCCGCAATTTGGTGTGCCTTGAGTAAGTACATTCCCTCCTGTGTGCTGTTTTCTGTGTTTGTAAAAGGAACTAAAAATACCCATCTCATAGAAGCGGGGCAATGATGAATATTATATGTAATATGTGTAGAGAACGTTGTGATCCTTTTTGGAAGCAAAGGGCCATAGAAGCATGATATAGAAAAGCCTTCTTATAGCAGAATTGGGCCAGGGAGTGGAGTCTACTGAGAACTAGTGGAACATTTGAAAAGTGCTGTTTTATTACTTTAACACTGTACAAGTGGCAGAGTAGGAGGGAAATGTTCTATAAAGAACATGGAGAAAGTCAGTGAAACCCTCACAAGCCTCCACGGGTCTGTGTGGAATAATGACGTACAGTAACGGGAAAGCGCTGTGTCACCAAAGACGTAGAGATTGAAGGGCACGTTTAAGGAAACTCATTTCTTAAAGCTTCAGTTTCCATTTTTTTTTTCTGAATTCACAGCATATTCTTATTTTTAGTAAAACCCTTCCATCTATATAAGAGAAAATTATGGCAAGTGTTTTACTCATTACTCATTAGTTTTTTTTTTTTTAATCATTGAGAATACTCAGTGAGTGATGCTGAGTGGAATGTTACTGTATCACCATCATCATCAGCATCCCCCCACCATCATCACCATCATCATCAAAAACAACTTTTTCCAAGCAAGTTCCAAGCAACTTGTTCCAGAGTAAGAAGAGAAGTAGGAGGATTTGGGCTTTGTACCTCCTGGCAGCCCCAGCCCCTGAGGCTTGTGTGATCCTGCTCCCCTTCTCTCCCCGACCCTGAACCCTAAGGGGCTCCCACACTTGAGACTGGAGCTGGCTCTTCTCTATTCTTTCCCTTATTACAGCCATCAGGGTCTTTCAGGACTGGCTTCTCAACCTTTGTCACATTGGGCTTGATATTTTTATTTTCTTTCAGTGGTAAATAGTAGATTGTTCAGAAAAATTATTGTCCCAGATTTTCACACAGTGATGGTATAGATACAGAATGCACACTTATA